TCTCTCTCTTTTCACCTTTCTTCTTACCAATTTTTTTTTTTTCTCCTTCTCCTTCCTTTTTTCTATCTTTATTTATTTATTTTGATTTATGCTTCTTTTTGTCTCTCCTCTTCCGTTGCCTTCATTTTTTCCTCTTCCATTCCGTGTTTTCTTTAGCTGTTGGTCTTATTTTTTTTTTCTGTTCTTCTATGATTTCTCTTGTTTTCTTTTTCCTCCTATCTTCTCTCTTCTTTTCTTGTCCTGTTTTGTTCCATTGACTTTGTTCCTATTGGGATTATAATTAACCATTTCTTTTATGAGGAGCAGAATTGTCCCCATTATTTTAATAGAACGACAGTTACAAAGCATTATGTGTGTGTGTATATATATACGCACCCCCCCCCCTCTCCTCTCTCCAATTTCTCTCTCTCTCTCCTTCTTCCTTCTCTCTTCCTCTTTCTCTTTCTCTCTCTCCTCTCTCTCTCTCTCTCTCTCTCTCTCTCTCTCTTCTCTCTCTCTCTCTCTCTCTCTCTCCTCTCTATATATAATATATATATATATATATATATATATATATATATATATATATATATAATATATATATATATATATTATATATTGTGCATGTGTGTAATTACTTTTGATCAAAGAAAGGAATTAACATACCTGTTGATAATGTACCTAAATACAACTTGCTATGAAAAAAACCTAGCCTGAATAACGATAATTAAGGGAACAAAGTGCTTCAATAGTTAGATCTCAAACTACACCTTTGTTAGACTAAGCCCACAGAGTGATATTCTAAATGATTCTTTTATTCCTGTAATGTTATTTGCTAATACCTTGTCATTTATTAAGTTATGTTAGTTGCGTCTTTGTTTTGTTATTATTTCCAGTATTATTATTTCCAATATCACTATATTCTTCTTGCAATAATGATTCAATTATCATTGTAGATATTGTCATAATTGTAACCATTATCACTATCATTATCATCATTCACATATATGTATGTATAGTAATATCAGCAGTAGTATCATCATACCCATCATCATCATTGTTATCATTATCTTTATCATCATGATTGTTATTATCATTACCGTTATTATCATTATTGTTATTAGCATATAGCATTATATTATTATTGTTGTCATTGTTATTTATCATAATTGTTGTCGTTGTTGTTGTGTGTTATCACATTATCATTACTACTATCATCATCATTATTATCATTATTTGGTGGTGAGGATGATGTTAGAATTAGTGATGATAATGATGATGATCTTTGTTGTCATTATCATGATCATTATCATTTTATTATTATTACGATTATTTTCATCGTTATAATCATTATCATTAGTAGTAGTAGTAGTAGTATTACTATTATCACTATTGTTATTAAAATCCTTATTATTATTACCATTGTTTTATTGTCATTATTATCATTATTATGTTATTCTTAGTAGCATTATTATTATTCACATCATTATCATTATTCACATCATTATCATTATTGTCATGTTTACCTCTGCTCATAATTATTGTTTTTTTTTTTTTATATTAATTCTATTCTCATTATTCTTTTATAGTCCTTATTATCATTGTTGTTGTTGTTTTTCTTAAATGTTATCATAATCATTATCATCATAATCATGTATCATCATCACCGTCATTATCATTCTTATCACTATTATATGGATGGGATTGTATTACCACAGATATCAGTTCCGATAAACACGCTGATAGTAATACAAAGCAACGGACGAATAACAGATGAATGAGAGAAAAGAGAAGTGATTGAAACGCTAATGATGATAAAACAAAACAACAGAAGAATTAGAGAAATGATTGAACAAGGGTGCTGTCAGAATAATTTTTTTTATACGTGTTCATATTCCTGAACCGATTTCTCCCCTCTCTCTTGTCTCCTCTTCTTCCAAATCTGAATTATCATTATTATTAGCATCTCTCCCTACGTCGTCTGTCTTTCTTAATCATCCTCCTCGTGTGTTTCTTTTTCTTGTTATGCCTCACTCCCTCTTTCTTTATTCACTCCCTCTTCTTCACACCTTTCTCTGGGTCTTGCTTTTGCTTTCTCTCTCTGTCTTTGTGTTCGTTTGCAGATCTTTTTGGTTATTCGTGAATTTATACAAATGCACATACACACACACACACACACACACACACACACACACACACACACACACACACACACACACACACACACACACACACACACACACACACACACACACACACACACACACACACACACACACACACACACACACACACATATATATATATATTATATATATATAATATATAAATATATATATATATATATATATATATATATATATATATATATATATATAATAATATATATATATATATATAATATATATATATATATATATATATATATATATATATATTATATATATATATATATATATATATATATTATATATATATATATATATATATATATATATAATATATATATATATATATATAATAATATATATATATATATTATATATATAATATTATATATATATATATACATGCAATACTCACACAACACTCACATTTTATGTGTGTGTGCGTGTGTGGATACATATGTATGTATATACATTCGTATTATGATAATTACAGCAAAGATGATAGTGCTGACATTGGCAATACTCGGGGCAACAGTGATTACATTGGATATGGGTTATCATGCGAAGATTTAGTTCCAAACTGAAAATTTACGAGCCTCTGATTTTGCACTTTTTAATTTTGCAGAAATAATACGTCTTGCAATCATGATCTGGACTTTGATGCCGCAATAGCAATTGGTAATTGTTTGTTCTTTTCACTGCCTTTATTCGTGCCAGGTTGCTTGGTTAATCCTCTTCCTGCTTGTTTCTCATTCTTTGTATCGTTTCTTTATGTATCTGTCTGTCTGTGTGTGTGTGTGTTCTCTTCTCTTTTCTCTCTCTCTCTCTCTCTCTCTCTCTCTCTCTCTCTCTCTCTTCTCTCTCTCTCTCTCTCTCTCTCTCTCTCTCTCCTCTCTCTCTCTCTCTCTCTCTCTCTCTCTTCTATCTCACTCACACTCACTCTCATTCTTTCTCTTCCTCGGCCTTTCTCTCTCATTCTTTCTCTTCCTCGGCCTTTCTCTCTCACACTTACTCACTCTCTCTCCTCTCTCTCTCTCTCTCTCTCTCTCTCTCTCTCTCTCTCTCTCTCTCTCTCTCTCTCTCTCTCTCTCTCTCTCTCTCTCTCTCTCTCTCTCTCTCTCTCGCTCTCTCTCTCTCTCTTTCTCTCTTTCAATTTCTATTTATCTTTGATTGAAAAGGCCTCTTACGCGATCACAAAAGAAAGGTGTGTTTGTATAAAATATGATGAAAATAGAACTATAGATAAACCGGATTAAAATGGCATATTTTTTCTTCTTTACCTTTTTGCTCAAAGACAAAGCAGTGACAAATATTTATCAAACGTTTTTGTTGCATCAGATGTTTGGCCCTTTCTCCTCCTTTCTTTCCCTTCGCTTCAGCCGACAGTATTCCCTTGTCTTCCGTCCTCTCCTCTCTTCCCTTCTCTTGCTTTCTTCTCTCCGCTCTCTTCCCGCTATTGTCGTTCATCGCTAGCGCCGTCACCGCTAACATGCTAGATTGTATCAGCGCTCATTTTCGTAGCGCTAAAATCCGCGCCAGAACAGTCTTTGTGTTGTTGACGTTTCACGGGGGAACAAACAGGTTCGCGGATTCATCACAAGATCAAAGCGGTGCCAAGACGAACGCCAAGGCACGAACCGAAGGAGCGAGGAGACCGCGAGGATGACAGGCTGGGAGGCACATTGCTTATATGGAGGAGGCTGTTATATATATACATACATACATAAACATGGCATATGTGGTGTGTTTGTGTTGTATAAAAAAAAAAAAATAAAAAACTCGACGCACAAACGGCCAGAGTCTACCTGATAAAATCCTACCGAGCATCCAAGTGGCCCTTGCTGGTGCGGTCTTCTGTTCCTGCCACACACACACGCAACACACACAACTCACACCACCACCAACCACCACCACACACCCACCACCACCTACCACCAACCACCACCCACCACCAACCACCACCTAACCACCACCACCTACCACCACCACCCAACCACACCACCTACCACCCAACCACACCACCACCACCACCACCACCATCCACCCAGGACAGAGGGACAAGCGTACGAAGCGTCTGATTTATGTTGTCTAATGCTGTGAAGCAATTATTCTGGTATCCTTAGGCAATGATTCCTTTAGTCGTTTCGATCTTTTTAGTAACATGCTCAATTGCAAGTCCTAGATTGCTAATCAGGACATATATGGGAATGTTGCATTGAAGGCTTCTAGTCTCACCCTATCATCCTGTTTATACATCTGCATTAAAGGACGCGACGGAACATTCGACTACTGATGTATCGCTACACATTCATTAGCGTAATTCTAGCTTTGTGTCCGTATACGTGGATAGTGTTGTTTAAACCTATTTTGTCGCATCCTTCGACCCCCTACTCTCTTTGGCTGCTCACGTAACCTTCAACTACTAGGCTTTCCTTCCTAGCTAACTCCAGCCAGGCGGCCCAGCCCTCCTATACCGTCCTAGATGCAATCAACCGATTTCCAGACGCGCATATTATATCCTCACCCTCAACCCCGCCTCGTCTGTTTTCTGCATTTCTTTCTGCTGTCATCATCGCTCTTGTTTTCTTAATGTTAAAAATGGCTGGTGGCACAAACCTATATTATTAGCTATATTATAGACTTTATCAATATGACCAATATGTAATATATAATAGGTATAACTTTATATATATGTGTTTGTTGTTGTGTGTAGTGGTGTTGTGTGTGTGCGTGTGTGCAATCTGCATCTGTGGTGTGTGGTGTTGGGTGTTGTGTGTGAGACTGGCGGAGAAGGATGGTGTGGGTGTGTATCCTATAGCCATATATAGCATATTACATGGCATAAGGTGATATAACATATGCTCTACTCTACAATTCTCAGCCAGGTTTTCCTAGACATAGATTGTTTATGAAAGGAAAGATAAAATGCTTAAAGTAAAAAAATACACTAGATAAAAATGATTGAAGCATATGTAAAGAAAGAAAGTATATATAATAGTATAATAAAAGAAAGTATATTACTATAATTATATGTCATAATATACTATAACAATGTTCTCTGTTCATTCTTTGTTTTTATACTTATCTCTATTAGTTATTCGGGCTGTTAATTGTTAGTAGTAATTTAATCATTTATTTGTTGTTTATATATTTACCCCCTTATGTTCATTGTTATATAGATGCTGTATAATTATTATGTATATAGGTGCATGTTTTCAAATAAGTGCACAGACTTACACTAATACTGAATAACATTTACTTTAAGATCATATATTAATATAAGATATATAAAAGGTCACTCAAAATGCATCAGTACTATATATGATTATATATTATATAGTTATATTATATAATATATACTACTTATTTTTAGATCTATGTCTGCTTAATGCTCGTACCTTTACATAGCTGAGTGAATTATGCAGAGGTATCTGGAATAAATTGATATATATTTATTTTACGTAAAGTAACATAAAAATGTATAATTAAAATATTATATTATATTCCCCCTGTGGATTAGGGGGACGGTGAAAGGAATTGCTAGCTTAACATATTATTATGGTTTTGTAATGGAATGCATTTTTGTATTACATACTTGTATATAAATTAGAGAATAAAAGTAAATATAAATAGTACTAGTGGTAACGTGTTGTTAAACTGTATATAACACAAATTATAGGTCAAATATTTATGGTATCATTTAACACTAGCATTACCTACACTTGAACGTGCCATACAAAGTATATATTGGTTGTTATATATTTATATTCTGTAATATATTGTGCTATTCAATTTACATACATTTCTTGTGCGTGTATCAGTTAGCGGTGACGGTGAGGAAGAAAACTCCCAGCGGCCCCTTCACCGGCGTGAAGGACCCCGCCGCACCCCATCCCGTTGTCTCCCCCTCGGCTATACTTCTCGGGCAACCATGGGTGACGTGGAGTGAGAGGCTGGCGGAGGTTCACAATACTAGGCGCAGCGCCGAATCGCGTGATGAAAGAGGCGATAGTGTAAACTTATACCATTATGATATTGTCACTCATGTTAATATATAAATAATGTTTATCGTGAATATATCTATATGATTATATTATATTATCCATGTATTAATAATTTATCTGTTTATTTACTATCTCATCTATAGATTATTATTATTAATTGAGCATGAGAGCGAGAAATAGATATGTGAGAGAGATGAGATGAGAGAGGAGAGAGAGAACGAAGAGACATGACGGAGAGGAGAGAGAAGGAGAATTATTCTATGAGTGTTGTGTATGTGGATACGTGTAAAAAACTGTGTGTGCGTGGTGTGTGCGCGATAGATGGTGTAGTGTGTGTAGTGAGTAGGTGGTGTGTGTGTGTGATATTGTATATTGTATAATTATTATCAATATTCTTTCAGTGACCTGTTCACGATGTGCATTAACGCAGTCACGGGCATGTCCCTCCACCGGACCGCTCCCGCTCGCCGCCGCCCTGATGCCACCCGCCCCGGCCGCCGCCGTGTTCCTTCTGCGAGACGCAGCGGACACGGGAACTGGACTTCGCGGCCCAGCAACTCCTCTGAAGGAATTCCTCCGGGAATTTATACTTCTTACTCACGACACGAGCTTACTGTGTAGCTTACTGTGTTTGTACTCGGACCTAGCGCGCGCAAATATCGTTCGTTAGTCAAGCTGACTTAGATTCGTCTCGTGCGGCATGCTGTGTGTAAATGTAGATAATCTGCTGGATCGAGGGACGCGCACCGCAGCCAGGGTGCTGCTCCCTGTGACAAGATTCCGGCTCGGCGGCTCACTCTCTCGCAAGAACACTGTTTGGTTATTGATGCGGGCGAGATGGGGGCAGTCCGCGTCACACACGCGGAAAGGGCACACGCGGGGCGTGCGCTGTCGTTGATAAAGTAGTGTTGTGAAAATATTTTATGTATATATGTGTTATACACAGATGCCTATTTTGTGTGTTTGTGTGTTGTGGTGAATGAAACTGATAGAATATACATATGTGCAATTTTTCGTGTCTATATACTATATATATATATATGTAGAATGAACTCACTGTGTTAGCGTGCGTTTAGTGCGTCAGTATATTATATATATATATATATACTATCAATATGTATATACTATTTATATATTGATATATGATATCATGTGTGAATATTATTTATATTGTGTTGAGTTTTTGCTGATGTGTCGGTATGTTGTGTTATATTTATATTAGTGTGTGTATGTAGTATGTGTGTTAAGTAGTGAGTGTAGTGTGGGTGTTAGTTGTGTAGGTGATGTGTAACACTGTGTGCTATGTTGAGTTTCTGGTGGTGTTAAATGGAGGCGGCATGTGATGTTTG